TAGTAATAATAATAATAATAATAATAATAATAATAATAATAATAATAATAATAATAATATGCAGCTTGAACAGTATTGTTAAGCCCAATAGATATCACAATTCCTTTCTTATTCTAATGATTCCTTCCTTGTGTAACAAGTATTGCTACCCAAATACCTAGCATGAACATGGATCTTCAGATCTAGTTATAGTTAGACAGAACTATATTTAGATGCTCGAAAGGCCTCCACTTATCACTAGGTTAACAACCCTGTGATAAAATTGTATCTACAAGCCCAAGTTTCATTTGCTAATACAGAAGGACCAAAGGCGCAAGCAAGATATGCAGCACTGCCAATTAAGTCTGGTAATTCATCCAAGCCAAGAGAAGTATCAACCCAGTCAATTCTCTAACAACAATACATTTCATATAAGAAAGACGTGAAGTCCTTTTTTGCACTAAATACGTATGGGCAACATACAAATATACATGGTCTCACCTTTCCATTATATATCTCAAAGAAGGTCACGTATACTTCTAGACCTTGGGCCCTATACCGTGGCTGATTCTGAAGGAGGAATACATCCTGTGCTAGTAAGAGAAAGAAAATGACAAAACGAGACTGTATCAAGCTTATGCACTTTCAGGTCATTGCCACAACTTCTTTCACAGTTTATGATGTGCTACTTTCAGCAGCTATATTGGAAACTATAGGGACGTTAGCAATCACACAATATTTAATTAACAATTTAACTAGTAACTTTGGGGAAAGTTAACATAGGCTTCTTACATCCTACTGTTTTTAATGTTTTTGCAGCAGAGAGCACAACCGTTTTGGACTATAGGCCATGCTTGGTCTTTGAACAGTATATCATGGGACCATACTCAAAAAAGTTGTTCGATCAAGACAAAACTAAACTTGTTTTAATTTAAATTTAGTTACATTCAGTTGACATGATACTCCCCATATATTTAATAGATCTCCCTCCATCACATTAGAAATTAAAATTTGGCAACAACTTTCATTGGAATTTTGGGCACTGTGTCCAAGACTTAATATTGGGGAGAGGGAAGCAGGTTGTCCAACATTATTAGTTCAATTTTTAAAATATTCCAATTGTGATAGTACATACATGCAAAAGCATATATTCCTTTTGAGGCCTTCTGTACTTTCCCAGAGAAGTCTCCTCCCATAGTCTAGAAAAGGAACATATATTACAAGGCAAAATCTTAACAGTTAAACAGGAGTCTCATTACCTGCAACACTGATTACTTGCAAACACACTAGAATTTAATTACTGCCAAGACCACCCACGTAATATCTTATTCGAAAAATACCTTTACACCTATTTTCTGTACAGAAATAAATGAAATTATGAGTATTTCAATTTGCAAATTTCAGTCATCACTCAAAAGTTCCTTTATATCTTGAAACAGAAACTTTGTTATACACACAAACATACTAATGCTAAGAATGCTACTAATCATACTACCACTGCACAGGAATGATAAATTAGTAAATAATTCCAAATACATGCCAATATATGTAATTGGCCTTCCATTTATCAAAACCTGCTCCCCCTCCCATACCAATACACTATGAACTGAAACTAGAACAGGCTACCCCTCCCTGATTCTACTAACTTCAGACTGATTTTAGCATGCTAAAATAAAATATTTTCTTGTTCAACTACAGATTGCCTAGACAATGCAAGCTATAGAAGAAAGAGCATACAAGTGAAGCACCCCTCTCTCAAAATCCGAGGCAGATATGATGAGTTTCCAAAGTTCCAATTTCAGCAGGTTTGCAAACTTACAGCAGAACAAACTACTGTAGAAGTAGCATATGTTTTTAAGCCAAGAATTCTTCAGATAAGCATTTAGAAGCAATTCAGACTACTTCTGTTTGATTCAAGTTATTACCTAATTCAGGGAAATGGGAGTTAAAAACATAATAGAAGCCAACACTCACATGAGTTTTTCCACTACCAGTTTGGCCATAGGCAAAACATGTAGCCTTCCCTCCTTCAAAAACAGTCTGCACAAGTGGCCTAGCAGTGAACCTGGCCAAGCATAAGGACAAAGGCAAAACATCAGTGAGTCAGTGAAACTATAAAAAGCAATCTGTAAAAAACTATCAGCAGGATTTATATCTCTTGTCAATAAACAGTGACACATCAAAATTCTAGACATTTTCAGGATCACAAGTGCACAAAGGTTAGCATTGTAATTATAGTTGTTTCAGTAAACATTCAAAAATGATTGTTATATACAGAGAAAGTAATATAGACATTGAAGAGCAGATCTTTCTTCTTATAACCAAAGTGAGGTCCATTGCCAGAAGCATCCTCCACTATGTATAGAAATCTGTCACTATGACACTCAAGGGGCATCAGTTAATTTCCATAACTCCTCAAGAAGCCTCTTAAACAGCTCTACATCTATGTCAAATCATGATTATGGAACTATGGTTTCTTGAAATATATTAGTTGGATCTTAATGGGAAGTTTGGTTCTATAGTTCTTTATGTAGAATTACTGCAAAATAGAGCTGTGCAAATGTTCAAACCCCTTCATGGATCACTGCCTTGTCGTGGCGAAGGGGCTTGCGTAACTCAGTGAAGCCATGAGTTATACCATGCAGGGCCACCCAAGACGGACAGGTCATGACAGAGAATTCTTACAAAATGGGGTGGGCTGGAGA